ACGGCTCTGGATTTCCATTTTTCCCTCCATGTTTTCTGTGGGGAGCTCTGGACTTCCAGCTATCCATCCATTTTTTGCATTTGCGGCTTGGTATTTCCAACGTCCCCTTCGTAATTTTGTTCCGACGAGTTGGATTTCCAACGCCCCCCCCCCCCTTTGGTTGTGGGCAGCTGGGTAGTTTGAACAACCCCTCCTTTTTTTGCATTCGTGGCCTTGTATTTCCCACACCCCCTCCATTATTCTGTGCCGGCGGGTCTGGGTTTCCAGTTTGCCCCCTTTTTTTCTCTTTGGACTTGGGTATTGCTAAGTGTCCCTCCATCATTTGATGGGTGTCCAACTCTCTGTCCATTTTCTGCACGTGCGGCCTTGTATGTCCAACATCCCCTCCATTATGTGTGCCAACGGCTCTGTATTTCCAACAATCCCCCCATTTTCTGTTTGGGGAGCTCTGGATTTGCCACCGTTCCTCCATTTTGGGAACGTGAGGCCTTGTATTTCCAGCGTCCCCGCCCGTATTTTGTGCAGACAGTTCTGGATTTCCAAGGTTCCCAGGGTTTTTCTCTGTGGGGAGCTGCGTATTTCCCACGGTCCCTCCATTCGCTGCATGTGCGGCCTCATATGTCCAAGTTTTCCTCCGTTATCTGTGGGGGGAGCTCTGTATTTCCAATGCCCCCTCCATTATTTTGTGCCAACGGCTCTGAATTTCCAACCTTTCCTCCATTTTTGGCATGCGTGGCCTGGTATTTCCAATATCCCCTTCGTTATTTTATGCCACTGTTCTGGATTTCCAGTTTGCCCCCATTTTTGTATGTGGGGAGCTGGATATTTCCAATAGCCCCTCCATTTTTCACACACGGCACCTTGCATTTCCAATGTCCCCTCCATTTTGGGTGCCCACGGCGCTATACTTTTGCTGTGTCAGGCTCTTTATGTCCAAATTTCTCCCCTTTTTGTGTGGATTGGGCTTCTGTATTCCCAAGTTCTCCCTCAGATTTTTGTGTCGGGTTGGTGCGCCCAGTGCCCCCCCATTTGTTGTGTGCCGGGCCCTGGATGTGCAACATTCCCCTCCGTGGTTTGTGCTGGGCTCTGTATTCCCAGCTTCCCCCTGTGCTTCCACACGCCATCGGTCCCCTGCATGTTTTGTGTGTTGGGCTCTGTATCCCCAACTTTCCTCCCATGTTTTTGCATGTCGGTCTCTCTACTCCCAACTTGTCTATATTTTTGGTGCGTCGGGCTCTACATTCCCAATTCCCCCCGCCCCCATATTTTTGCATGGCAGGCTCTCTATGTCCAACTTTCTCTCCACGTTTTTGCGTGCCATGCTCTAGATCCCCAACTTTCCCCCCATATTTTCATGTGTTGGGCTCTACATTTCCAACTTGTCCATGGTTTTGTGCATCCGGCTCTACATTGCCAATCCCTCCTCACCCCCGTAATTTTGCGTGTCGGGCTCTCGATGTGCAACTTCCTCTCCACATGTTTGCGTGTTGGGTTGTACAGCCCCAACTTACCCAGGTTTTTGTGTGTGTCATGCTCTATACATCCAACTTGCCCTCCGTATTCTTGCGTGTTGGACTCAATATTACCAACTTTTCCGTGTTTTTGGGTGTCGAGCTCTATATTTGGAAGCCCTCTTCCATCCTTCAGCGTATTGGGCTCTGTCCACCCCCACCCCTCTCCCTCGGGCTCTCCACACCAAGAGGCTTCTCCCTTTCCCCGTTCCCGGTCGTTGCGGGCCCGGCTTTTGGGACCCCCCGTTCTCTAACGCTCCCTGTTTTTCTTTGCGTGTGCGGCGCTGGCTTGGTCCTTGCCCCTTCCCGCCCGCCCCTGGCGTGTTGCCCTTGAAGATGACACGTGGCCGAGGGATCCCCGTCCCTGGGGTCTCCGGCTCCGTGCTCCCCTCTGCCCCCCAGACCATGTTGAAAGAGCAAAAAAAAAAAAAAAAAAAAAAATTAAAAGAAAAAAAATTAAATTAATGATGAACATGGATGAAACAATCCAATGTCAAAACAAAGCAAAATAATGAAGTGTAATTAATTATCTCAAGATGAATAAAAAAAGAAAAGAAAAGAAAAGAAACAGGCTTCTGTTCATAGCAGAGCTGGACCTCCCGTGTGCTTTTTGGGGGGGTGGGGTAGGAGCATGGGAGTTGCCTAGCAAAGTCCTACACACACACACACACACACACACACACACACACACACACACACACACACACATGTGGATCCCAGGTGTCTGGGAGGGGGGTGGACATGGACATGTGGAACCGAAGGGTCTGGAGGATGGGTGCAGAAGGGAAACTGAGGCACCTGGGGGACAGGATCTCTCCCACGCACTCCCCCACCAGACACCTGGGATGGATGGACTGGCTCACTGGAGGGAGGGATTGGTTCGGTGCGTGGATGGATGGTGGTGGGGAAAGCATCTATGGGGATGGAAGGGTTATCAGGGTGGATGGATGAATGGACAGAGGTCTATAGGGCTGGGGGGATGGATGGAGTTCATAGATTGTGGGGCTGGAAGAGACCTCAGAAGATTACCAAAGACAAGTGGGGTCAGGTGCTCCCAGCGAGGTGACCATCCAGTCTCCTTGAAGATGTCCAGGGTAGGTGCTTGCAGCTCTGGAGGGAGCTTATCGCACAGTCTGGAAAGTGTGACGACGTTTTTCCCAATGTTGAGCCTCAGTCAATCTTCCAGGAGTTTGTGCCATTAGTCCTGGATCTCCCCTCGCGTGCCCTGGTGAGCAGTTGCTCACCGAGCCCTTGATGTGCTCCGCTAGCGCAGCGGTACCCTGCTACCGGGTCCCCTCGCAGCCTTCTCTTCCTCAGGCTGAAGAGTCCCAGGTCCCTCAGCCTTTCCTCATATGTCTTGCCATGTACGTTCCTGGTCGTACGGGTGGCTCTTCTTTGGACTCTCTCAAGCTTGTCCACGTCCTTGTTGAAGTGCGGTGCCCAGGCCTGGACGCGGTGCTCCAGCTGCGGTGTCACCAGTGTGGAGTAGAGCGGAAGAATCACCTCCTTGGCTTCGCTGGAGATGCAGTGGATGCATGCCAGAGTATTATTTGCCCTGCTGACTACAGCATCGCGTGCCGGCTCATGTTCACACTGTGGTCAGGTATTCCCCCAGGTCCCTTCTATTCGTGGCGCTGGTCAGGTTGGTGTTGCCAAGCCCGTAGGTGCGCAGGGAGGGGGTTGATCGTCTCAGGTTGGAGCACCTCACGTTTCTAAGTGTTGAACTTAACTGGTTCCGGCCCGCCCAACTTGCCAGCCTGTCTAGGTCCGCCTGTATCTGCAGCCTGTCTTCAAGCATGACCATGGTTCCCCATAATTTGGTGTTGTCCGTGAACTTGGCCAGTGAGCTCTTCACCCCCACATCCAAATCATTGATGAAGATGTTGAATAGCACTGCACCAAGCACCGACCCCTGCAGGACACCATTGGCCACTTCCCGCCAGGATGACACAAATCTGTTCATTAGAACTCTCTGGGTTCTACCCTGCAGCCACCTTCCTACCCACCTAACTGTCTTGCAGTTAAGGCCACAGTCTTCCAATTTTCTCGCGAGAACATCATGGGATACCAGATCAAAAGCTTTTTGCAAGTCGAGGTATATAATGTCAACCTCCTCTCTTTTATCCAGGTGGCAAGTCACCTAATTGTTAAAGGAGATGAGATTGGTAAGACAAGGCCTGCCCATGACAAAGCCCTGGCCCTCTCCCGAGCGCCACGAGGTGTGGGAGAGTTTCGCCGGGGGCTCCGCAATGACTTCGGCCAGCTCCTTCAGCGCTCTCGGCCCCACTGACTTGCGTGGATGGATGAAGGGGGTGTGTCGGGACAGATGAACGAAGGGGGCATGTGGGGACGGATGGATGAGCCGCTAGGTGGATAGATGAAGGGGGCATGGGGAGATGCATGGCTGGATGGGGAGATGTACGCAGTACCCCTACAGGGGTGGGTGGAGGGGGGCTGGCTGGCAGTGGGGTGAGATGGGTGGACAGAGGGATGGCGGCTATGGGGTAGAGCATGGGGTGGCTGGAGAGACAGAGAGGGCTGGAGAGGGAGACGGAGGAACACGCAGACAAACGGGCACATGCGTAGGACAGACGGAGACAGAGGCGATGGATGGCCACGTGGGATGGATAAAGGGGTAGGTAGATGATGGCATCTACGGCAGG